GCCTTGCCACGCCCCCCGCCTCCATCACCACGCCCCCACACCGCTCCTCCCACCTGTGTCTTTCCCTCTTTCTCTCTTTTTGTGCATGATGGTTTACAATACAGGTGCTAAGAGGTCATCGTGTTTGCTCAGGATGTTCAGTATTTTTATCAGGATGGTATATCTGGAGTAGCTTTTTTTTTTTTTAACTGAGTGGCAGCTTTGGGGTGAGAATGTGACTGCCAGGGCTTCTGGATGTAGAAGGAGGCAGGGGGTGAGGTGGGGAGGTAGCCCATCCTGACCCTGAGAAAGCCTGGAGATTTCAGTCACAAAACCCTCATACTCAAATTTTCAGCATACCCACATACCCAAATCTCAGCGAGGTTCATCCCAAGACAGTGGAGTCTGGTTGGGGCATGGCAGAATTTTGGATTGTGGGAGCAAGCGGCTGCTGGGGTCTCTGTTTGGGCGGGCACCGGGAAAACTCGGCCCCTTCTAATCTACCCAGTTCGGTTCAGCCCTGCATGGGTCAAAGATTGACTATGTCTTTTGATCTCTTTTGAGATTTACTCATGGGTCTCTGGAGCAAGGCTGGTCAATGAGCTCATACGGCTGAGGTGGTCTGTGGGCGTGGTTCCCACATACCTCACGTTTGGCACTTTAATTTCTTAGAAAACTTGGTCCTGAGTTGTTGGAGTCCATCCAAAGGCACAGCAGCAATGTGGGGGTGTCAGGAAGTCTGAAGGCCCATCAGGCTGCTGATGCCTTCACCCCCCCACATGTCCAGGTTGACTTGCTGGGGGGTGGGAGGCAGGGCACTGTGCCCTCCGGGCCCCAGTGGTGGCAGCAGGGACCGGGATGGAGGCCAGGGCTGCCACCATTCATGGCTCAGGCACTCTGGGTGGGCCATAGCCACTAGTCAGTGGTGAAACGTGCCCAGGGACACGGCCCCCATCCTCAGTCACAGACAGTTGATGCCCAGGGAAGTTTTTCCCCATAACGTGCTGCTCTGGTGGCATGAACTGGTCTGGGGAAGAAACGGTGGCGGTGACAGCCTGGCGGCGGTGACCCCAGGTGTCCCCTCAACTCCGGGACCACAGTGGTGACAAGCTGGGCCTGAAGAGCCCTTCTCATCCACGCTAAGTTTCTGCTGCCCTCAGCACTGAGAGCCTCAGAGGCCACGCGGGCACCGCCACCATCTGCACATGGTCCGCTCCGGAGTACCCCGCCACGGGCGCCAGTTTGGTTCCACCAAAAGCTACTCTTTCTGAGAGAAAGCATTTCAAGGGCACTTACAATCATTCACGCAGAAATGTTCTGACCCCGTTGGCCCCGTGGTGGAGAGCGCTGAGAGCCGCCGTGGCCCTGCCATCTTCTCTGAAAGCCACCAGCCAGGTTTTGGTAGACAGGCTGTTGGTACTTCCTAGTAACCAGCTGTCCAGGAGGTGGCTCCTGGGTGTGGCGTGAGGAGTTCTGTCACCCCCTATGCCACTGCTTGGTTTGGCTATTAGTTTTTTTGGTTTTTTAAAGTTCTTATTTTTACCTTAGCTATAGCATGATAATTTGCAACATTGCATGGCCTTCCTTATATTCAATTAATCTTTAATTGGGGGGAGCATAATCGGGGGACACCTGGCAATGCTCAGGGCTGACTCCTGGCCCTGAGCTCAGGGATCACTGCTGGCAGGCTCAGGGGACCATATGGGGTGCCAGGGAGCAAACCCGGGTCAGCTGTGTGCATGGCAAATGTGACCTTCTCTTCCAACCCAAGCGCTCTGCTTGCTCACACTCTATCTGGGATTAAGTATGTGTGCAGAACAGGTTGGGAGGTGTCAGAAACAGGAATGTCACGGCTTTCATGTAAAAGGGACAGGATGGACGACAAAAACTTGCTGAGGAATTTGAGGAAACTTGCTAATACTCGTTTATTTACTTACTGGCTTTGGGGGGCCATACCTGACAGTGTGTAAGGGCTATTCCTGGATGAGCTCAGGAGTGCTCCCTGATGGTGCTTGGGAGATCGTATGCGGGGCCAGGGATTGAACCAGGCTTGGCAGCATGCAATGCAAAATGCCTTCTCCCCTGTACTATATCTCTGGCCCCTAATTTAAATAGAAGTTTCTATGCCTGGTTTCTGAGGTTAGTTCCCTAAATAACCTCCATTCCAGTACTAGCGTTCTGAAAACATCATCCAGGGTGCTTCAGAGAAAAGTATTCTGGAAGAAATATATTTATCTTAAGTTGGCATGTCATTCTAACTTTTGGCCACCATTGTGTAACAGTAAAAAAATTAACTGTTGATTCTTTTTTTTTTAAAGATACAATAAGTCTATTGTACTGGATTTGACAGTGAGAAAATCAAACCTGAAATTATTCACTGTGAAAAGACATATGCTCTTTCTCTGTATTTTTTAGACCTTTAACTTCATGGGTAATTTTATACTGTATATATCCTTTGAACTTTGTATTTCATTAATCCAAACCTATTACCCATGCAAAATGCTATTAAATATAAATGTTCTATATTTATTCAATTCTATTGTGCCTTAGGGTTCATAATACCATGTTTTAATTAGTAATGCATGACTGTTTATTCTAAGACTCTAAGTAAAATTACTGCTGTAGCAGTCTCCCTTTATTCATAGGAAATACATTCCATGATCCTTAAGAAAAATATCATATAGTTCAGCAAGTGGAAAAGAACACCAGAGCAATCATAAACTTGACTTCTTAAGCTTCGAAGTCTATTTAGCTTGTGACCTTAAGCAACTCATTTCACCACCTGGCACAATACAATTACATATCATCATTCATATATTAGTCACATAATCCAATTTGAGGGGAAATAAAACACACACATACACACACATAAAACCAGAAAGAGGTGATGACAGGTTGTGTTTTCACTGGTAAACACGTTAAGGACGCTTGAACCCCTACCTTCTGATATACAGCTGTCAACAGACGTTTATTAAATCTCAAGCCAATCCAATACCAATACTAGTGAAATATGTTTCTCTTATATTTAACTCAATCACAAAAGTACAACAGAACAGATTTTGAAAGAAATGTAAAAACAATGATTTTGCCCTTCTACAGACTGTACTCTGTTCTAGATTAAAACTCTTAATGCTATCCTATAAGACCTGATTGCAGCATTTAGAACAATGAGTAATCAGAATGGAGATTTCAAAGAAAGATGATATGTGTAAGGCATGAAAGGTCATGGAGTGGCTGGAGCAATCGTGCAGCGGGGAGGGCACTTCCTTTGCATACAGCTGACCCAGATTGGATCCCCGGCATCCCATACAGTCCTCTGAGCACTGCTAGGAGTGATTCCTGGGTGCCAAGCCAGGTGTAACCCTGAGTGCAGAGCACAGCCAAGTGTGGCCCCCCAAACCCAAATAAATAAATAAAAGGTCATGGAGCACTGGAACATGTGCTGAGTCTTGAAGGTGGAGAATCACTTCCCCAGAGTGAAACAGAAAGTTCAGATAATAAAAATAACAAAAAGGCCCAATTCCAAAGTTTTCTTTATAAATATTTTGTCTTACACAAGGCTAGAGACAGTAACTCAGACTGATACTTTTATGGATGTTTTACCAATGTTTTCCCAAAGAAAACAACCACAATAATCAAAAGGGTGCACATCAGATTAGTTCTTTCCATAAAATTCAGAGAGCCGCTACTTGCTGTCACTCAGGAGAGGAAATGAAATCCCATAATGCAAGGGACTGATTAGTTTTTGATATGGTAGCACAGCAGGTAGGGCTTTTGCCTTGCACACGGCCAACCCGAGTTCGATTGCTCCATCCCTTTTGGAGAGCCCGGCAAGCTACCGAGAGTATCCCACCCGCACAGCAGAGCCTGGCAAGCTCCCCGTGGAGTATTCAATATGCCAAAAACAGTAACAACAAGTCTCACAATGGGGACGTTACTGGTGCCCACTTGAGCAAATCGATGAACAACGGGAGGACAGTGCTACAGTGCTACCCTCTTAATCAGGGAATTAAATATGATGGAAAAACTCAAGTTTTCAGAATAAAAAAAAGTTCAAATGTAATACCAAGAAAAATGTTCTTAACTAAGTAACTAAGTATCTGTGCTTTCCCCAATAATAAAGAAACAGAGCAAACAAATTAGATAAACCACTCTAAACTTAGTAGCCACCTTCAGTATTTCAATAATCCACAGGAATGAAATTTTTAAAAATATGATGACATGATTTTTTTTACACTAATAAATAAAAGGCAGAGCACAGAGAACAAAATCTTACCACCTGATACAGTCCTATTCACCCCGTCATACCCTCACCTCCAGTCTCCTCCCCTACAGCCCACTAGCAGACAGCCTATACTCGGTCTACACAGGGCTTTCTTACTGCTTTTGTTCCCTAAACGCTCCCAACCTGCTTCATTTCAGGATCTTTGGATTTGCTCTTCCCCAACTGCCTGGAATAAGTTCCAGAGACTTCATGGCTGGCTGGTTCCTTCCTAAATTTCAGGAGTCACTGCCCAAATATCTCCTTGCCAAGGATTCCTTGGGGGGATTCCTACCCACCCACCCATGCTGGCAATCCCTGTCTCCTCCATCAGCCAGGTCTATGGACAGGCCTTCTTCCTCTGATGTAAATTCCTTCCAGAAACTACTGTTATCTATCTTATGGACTCTTGGCGCACCACAATGCCAGCCCAACCCTATTATTTCCCAGGGCTGCTCACCTGTGACCAGCCAAGGACTCTGTGGTGACAGTCACGGAAGACCGTCATTCCCACAGACGCTCCATTCAAGGTCAACACACCATCCAAACAGACTTGAGCGGCAAATCAAAATCAAACTCGCTTTCTGAATTCTGCTGGAATCAATGTTTTAACCGTTGCAAATATACTGGTGGTCATGTTTTAAGCGACATTTTCATGGCACCAAGATGTGGTGATGCAAAGAGGTTTATTTTAAGGAAAGTGTGTACTGCACTAAGAGATCGCACGTGCTGCTCCAAGACACAGAAGAGAAGGGCCGACCTGCTGCTCGTAGCGCTGCTTCACCTCCTCCAGCTGCCACAGGAACTCCTGGGACTGCTGCTCGCGGAGAGACCTGGAGCGCGTCAGGTCGGCTTCCACGCGTTCCATCTGTGAGGGGAAGATCCAGTGTTAAATCCCAACCATCATGTAGACTGCCTTTTTATTTATTTTTATCTTTTGTAATTTGTCCATTCGTTAAAATGAACTTCTGGTTGCTCTTGTTGTTGTTACTGGCTTGGGGGCCATGGCCACTGAGGCTTGGGGGCTCCTCCTGTCTCTGCTTGTGGGTCATTCCTTGGGGTACCCGCAGGACCAGGCAGTATGGGGGACTCAACCTGGGGCTCGTGTGTGCAGAGCACTGAGCTATTGCCCAACTCACTGGGTTATCTCTCTGGTCCTAAAATGGCACTTTAAATTTTATGAATTCAAAGTGCCTTCAAATTGGTGAATTTAAAGATGGTAAGTGGTGATTTAAAGATTTAACTGGCGAATTTAAGGATGATAACATAAAGCTATGCTTATTTATTTTAATAGTTTATCAGGAATATTAAAATTGATATAAAATTAACTGAATTTTGTTCTAAAATGACATAAAAATAGAAAAATCATTTTAAATATTCAATTATTTATTAAGATTTCATTAAGGTCTTGGTCTGTACTGACTTTCAGAAAATATTTACAAATCATGCATCTCCTAAGAGATATAACCAGAACATAAAAAGAACTCTCAAGGGCCAGAGAGATAATATAGCATGTTGGGTGCTTAGACATAACCAAACACAGGTCGGATCCCCGGCACTCCATATGGTTCCCCAAGCATCACCAGGGGTGATCCCTGAATGCAGAGCTAGGAGTAAGCCCTGAGCATTGCCAGATATGGACCCCAGATGAGAGAGAGAGAGAGAGAGAGAGAGAGAGAGAGAGAGAGAGAGAGCAAGAGAGAGAGAGAGAAAATTCTCACAACTCAATAAGTAAGCAAGAGAAACTGAAAGAAACTTCTCCAAATATACAACTGTCCAACAAAAGATGACAAAAGATGTTTAAAATCCTGGTCATGGGCCAGAGAAATAGCGCAGAATGTAAGGTGCCAGCCTTACACAAGGTCAACCTGGTTCAAGCCCTGGTCCGCATACGGTCCCTCAAGCCCCAGGAGGAGTCATCCCTGAGTACAGAGTCAGATGTCAATCCTGTGCCCTGCTGGGTATGTGTCCATTTCCACAAAGAGCAATGTCTAAAGCACTGTCCTCCTGTTATTTATCGATTTGCTCGAGCGGGCACCAGTAACATCTCACAACAAATTGTGACACTTGTGTTACTGTTTTTTGCATATCGAATACGTCATGGGTAGCTTGCCAGGCTTTGCCGTGCGGGCGAGATACTCTCGGTAGCTTGCCAGGCTCTCCGAGAGGGGTGGAGGAATCGAATCCGGGTCGGCTGCAAGCAAGGCAAATGCCCTACCCGCTGTATTGCTCCAGCCCTCCACAAAGAGATAAAATAAAATAGAGCATTTTTAACACAAAGAAATATCCTTGTCACGGGGTAACTTCAAATGAAAATAACTGCTTATCACCTTACACTCACTAAAATTAAATGGTTATGACAACAAGTGTTGTTGAAGATGTGGAGAATTAAGAACCCTCCTATACTGTTGATAGGGAGAGAAATAGAATTGCCAATTTAGAAGGTCCTCAAAAGGTTCAAAACTGAATTACCACAAAACCAAAGCATTCCACTACTTGTAAAAAAAAATGTAAACGTATATTCACAGAGAAGCTTCTGTTAAAATGGTCACTGGGCTGAAGCAATAGTACAGTGCATGGAGCATTTTCCCTGCATGTGCCGCACCAGGGTTCCATCCCCAGCACCTGACATGGTCCCTCGAACATCACCAGGAGTGATCCCTGAATGAAGAGCGAGGAGAAAAGTCCAGAGCACAACCGGATGTGGCCCAAATCAGATACCAACAAAAAAATGTAGCAGCATTATACAAAACAGCACCACAGAGGAAACCCAATGTTGGCCAACTAAATACGCAAACACGGCAGAGCCGTCCACATATGACTGAACAAGTAATGACTGAACACTATTCAGCCAACTAAAAAGCTGGAGGTACAGATACACATGCCAGCACGGACGCGCCTGGCACACAGTATGCCGAGAGAGAGGAGACAGTCGAAAAGACCGTGTATCACATAATCCCGTTTATAGCAAACATCCAGAACGAGCCAATCCACGACATAGAAAGTATGTGGGTGGGGGAGTGGTGACAGAGGGGGGCTGAAGTGGCGGGTAGGGCGTTTTCCTTGCACGCGGCCAACCTGGCTTTGATTCCCAGCATCCCATATGGTCCCCTGAGAACTGAAAGGCGTAATTCCTGAGTGCAGAGCCAAGATTACCCCTGTGCATCGCTGGGTATAACCCAAAAAGAAAAAAAAAAGTAAGTAAGCAGGGATGAGAAGGAATTCAGGAGGGCCAACTGCTGAAATGTGTTGGGTTGCCTTTCGAAGTGATGGGAATCTCCATCAGCGGCAGTGCCAGCCGCATGACTCTGAGATTACAAGTCTTCGACTTCAACACTTATAGTGGGGAAACTCTTGGAAATGTGAGTTCTAACTTGGGGACCCTGTCATTAAGTCTCTATCTACCAATGCCGAGGCCTCCCAGGCCCTCCACCTACCTCTCACCTTCTTTTCCCCCTGTCCTACCCATTGGTTCTCTAAGTCTCAGACCATGACCCCCACTGATGGGATTTGACCTGTGTCCTGCCCCTGGCATATCCTGGGGGCCCGTGTGAACTCCAGTTGAGCTCCACTGTTCCACTGTTCTGGAGCACTGTCAAGCCTGGCACCAGGGAGCTTTCCTGGGTCACCACTTTGCAAAGGCCAAGCGTTCCCTTCATATAGGGACCTCCCTGACTGTCCTGTTCTCAGCTGCAGCTGACCAGCCCCCCCCCCCCCCAACACATATGCATTCCCCACACCAGCTGTCCTTCAGTTTTCCTTCCCCTGCTCTCAACCATCAAACAGAACACCCGCAGCACACGATATAACTGACTTGCTCCTTAGCACTCCTCAGCACTTACCCACCATGAGGTAAGCCCACCCCTCACATAGTCCAGCCATCCAGCAAACATACCACCTGACTCGCACACACACACTACTTGACAGATGAGAGAAAGAGAGAGAGAAAGAGAGAGAGAAAGAGAGAGAGAGAGTATACAATTTGGTTTAAAGTTTGCCCAAGAACTAATGCTGAAGAGTGCCAGATTTTTTACAGCACATTCCAAACGAATAAAGAATCTAGATTATGGGGCCGAAGCGATAGTAGAGCGGGAAGGGCATTTGCCTTGTAAGCCGCTGACCTGGGTTCAATCCCTGCCATCCCATAGGGTTCCCCAAGTACCACCAGGAGTAATTCATGAATGCAGAGACAGAAGTAAGCCCTGAGCAACGCTGGGTGTGATTCCCCCCACCCCCCAAAAAGTATCCATACTATGGCATGATGTTTAACACCTAACAACTACACTGCAAATTCCAAAGTCTGATAATCCAAAATCATTATTTTCCAAACTCAGTGGTTAGAGTTTTAATATTTCTGAGCTCTAGGTAATGAGTATTATGGTCAAGGTACATTTGCTTTAAAAGAAGAAGAAGAAAGGAAGGAAGGAAGCGCTGACAGGCCCACTCTGTTTCCGTGGAGCCTGAGAGGAGCTCCGAGGCTCACTCCGGCTCATTGTTTCCGTTTTCCCTCCTCCATCTCCACGCTGCAAACACAGCCTTGGCAAGCCCCAAACAATCCCTAGCTATTCCTTTTGGTTTGCTTTTGTTTGGGGGCCATACCCAGCAGTGCGGGAGGGAGGGAGAGGGTGCAAAGGGGGAGAGGGGATTTATTCCTGGCTCTTGGCTCAGGGAACACTCCTGGCAGAGCTCAGGGGACCAGATGCAGTGCCAGGGAAAGAATCAAAATCAGGTTGGATGTCAAGCAAGAGCCGTGCCCTCTGCACTGACCTCTCTGGCCCTCTGTGGCTATTTTTTTTTTTTTTTTGCATTTTGTGTCACACCGAGCAATGCACAGGGGTTACTCCTGACTCTGCACTCAGGAATTACTCCTGGTGTGGCTCAGGGGACCATATGGGATGCCGGGAATTGAACCCGGGTTGCCCACGTGCAAGGCAAACACCAGACCAGCTGTGCTATCGCTCCAGCCCCCATCTGTGGCTATCCTTGACCCAAAAGCCTCCTGCTCTTCTAAAAACCAAGCCCGATTTTCTCTCCCCTCTGTGGTATGCTTACAGCTCACCGACAGACAAAAATGCCTCCTCTCTCTCTCTTCCAGGATTTAACACCACTATTTTCCTGCTCTACTGAGATCCTGTCTATAGCAGAGAGAAATGTGCTAGCTTTGTTTATTCATTTCAGTCCTGAGCTCCCAAATAACAGAAACTCTGACTTCAAATTCTTTCTGTTGTATCCACGTTTACTAATTGCCCTGGTATGCAGAGTAAGTGTGCAGCGAATTCTTCATTTGCCTTCAAGAGCAGGCAAAAGCCAACAGGGAAGAAAAAGAGAAAATCAATCAAGAAGGGAAGGTTTGGTTTTGGTACCTTCAAATCAGACCTCTGTGTTAAATTAATAATTGTTTCTCATTTTATCTTAACACAGATTAAAGGTTAAAAGTAAATAAACATTAAAATACTTAGAATAGAAATTAAGAGGCCCTTATGTATCGAGCTGAAAATAAGAGTATTTTCTAACAGAATTGTCTTCTCTAATCAAAACTGAAAACAATGTAAGACGAAAAGACCTCTCACCCTCAAACACTACAAACATTTCAAAATAAACAACTGGTCCGAAACAATGAAATGCATGCCATGTTAAATTATACTGACCGAAAATGCAAGGCCCCAGTCCATTCTCCTTCCACAATCAAGAAGGGGGAAAAAAAAAGAACTGTAAGATATGTCATATGAAACATAAGGATCCCAGTTTCTATAGACGCAAAGATTCTGCTTCTTCAGACATCATTCCACATTCCATGATGGCATAAGACATCCAAGTGGAATCCCTCATTCTTTCAACAGAGGTCTAGTTTTTATGAATTCAACAGCA